TCACTAATCAATAAACTCTCTATAAATATTCTCGACATTGAAGGCACTCATCTGAATGGTTTCGCTATTTCAACTTTTGATTCTACTTAATTATGCAAACCATTGACTAGCCTCATTGTACTGCTTTAATTCTTTACTAGGTTATTGGAGAAGAAACCACGGTGGCCGGGGACAGACTGACGGCGAGAGAGACAGCCAGAGTGGCATGGATGACACATTAATGACACAGCACAACCACAGTGGCATGAATGAGGCATTAATGACAAGACACAACCATAGTGGCAGGGCTAAGGGGGATGATGGCACACAATACAACCACAGAAACAAAACCCACTTGTGGTAAAACAGAAAAATAAAACAACTTAAAAGATAACATACAAGGAATGAGGGTAGACTTTTCTTAGTTGATTTTTTTTATCATTTTTTTCAAGAGTTTGTAAGAGTAGGCCATTATTAAAGAGGAAAGTGCTGGGTGTTAGTCGAGTGTATGGGGCAGTGGACACCTTGGTCACCCAAAGTATTCCCAACGTATGACGGATGTGGGCGACCAGAGACACGACCGACACACCACTGTGAACATGGTCATGGTGGCTATCAGAAGAGAGGCTATGAGAGCAACAAGGGCTACCAAGTATAGCCATTCACAGCTGTGGCATAGCAGCCACTGTATGCTGTCACCATAGCAACCATTCAAGACTATCATTGCATTTACTACTCACACTTATGGAGGAAGTAGTCGTACAATTTTTTTTTTTTTTTTTAGTTTTGTGTTATTTTGCATTTGTTTTTTTGATCGTAACCATATGCAGCTTCCGTCATAGTCGCTGCATATGATTATTGTTGTAATAACCTCGTTTTAATGGTCTCCCGTAGCATCCACAAGCACCGCCATGCCAAAAACTGAAATTTGTGCTAGGATGAGACAGAGGTACGGCACTGTTAGTGAGGAATGCTCGTGAATCACGTCCACAGGGTATAAACAGGCTCATAGAGGGCTGTAGATCGACCAGCCTCATAAAATACAAATAAATAAAAACAGAAAAAATAAACAGAGCAAGTGGACATGACAGCTAGAAACAGGCCCTTTGGATGACACAGGACCGGATGTAATTTTGGTGGTGGAAGAGGTGGAGGTGTTGGTGGTGATAGTGGAGGACATCACACGTAGTAGTCACTCACACAACGCTGCCGCTTAGGCCGCACGGCGGATAATGGCAATGGTTAGCTAGTCTACGCTGCTTTTGACCGGCCAAGCTCGGACAGAGGTCGCGGTAGAACCTCATCGCCCGCCATGGCACGTTGCCCATCAGCCTTGCGACGTCCTCACAACCGGAACGGATTATTCATAGAGAGGGGATGATGTCGTACGCTTCCAGGGAGGACATGAACACGTAGAAGACCCACAAGAAGGCGAGGAAGGTGGACGTCACAATCTTGGGGATTCTTGGCCCGCCGAGCTCTCCGCCGACGCTTGGGTGTCGCCTGATCATCATCACCATGATGGCTGCTGCTGCCTCCACGCAGAACAGTGTAACTGAGAAGGCCAAGCTGCAAGGGGAACGGCAGGCTGTAGTATGGGGAACCTCATCTCGCATGTTATTTTCTTTTCTCTCTTATTACATGACGAAAGATTTTAATTTCATATTCGATCTACCAGTATATTATCCATAAGTGCATATCAAGTAAGAACAAGGACACGTTTTAAGTAGCAAATCCCACCAACAAGAAAAAAACGATAAATTCATAAATATCTCAACAGCCATCCCTTCACCCCCGCCCTCCGACCGTCTACTTACTTGCCAGGCAAGACTTCAAAGTCTCTTCCTTGGACATTGTGGTAGATAGCAGCAAGGGTCCATGCGATACCAATACCAAGGAACACGTTGACAGCGTTGGAGCCCGTGACGTTACCCACAGAAGCGTCAGCGTAGGGATCCTGCTGGGCGGCCACCTTTGAGGCAAAGGTATCTGGAGGAGGAATGCGGAAGTCTTAAGATAAGCCCTTGGGAAGCCTTGCTCTGGAGTATGCTACGCTGTAAACCTCATCCTAATTGCTTAGACTATTATTTCACTTGATTGCATTTTAGTATTTAAGCAACTTCTATTTCCAGAGTAAGAGAAATGAAAGAAAATGCTAAAAGTTTATGGCATATTGGTAATTTTGAAAGCTTCTAATAGAACTATAGACATGTTTAATTGACAAAACTGACAAGGTTTGGGCTTGGTAATATTCCTATATCCGTACATAAAAAGGGATTTGACCCCAATATGCAGTGTAGTAAAATAGCAGTGTTAATCTTTATCAAATTAAATAACAATAACGTCCTTTATAATACTCAAAGCAAGAAAGCGTAAATAAATGAAACAACAATGCCATGCTAATGGTCTAGGAACAAGCACTAAAAACAGCTGGTGTGCACTTACAACAGCAAAGGTCTGGACGCCTTAGAGGTCTTACAGACTCCAACAAGAATTTTTAATCTTTTTGTTCTCATGATTTAAGCATCAGACGAAAGTACTTACAATGAGCAAAGATAATTAATTTAAACAATTAGGAAATTTTGATATATGTTTATCATCCTCATGACTTTTTATTTATAAGAGAGATCATGAACCAGAAATTATTTCTTGAACCAGCTCTTCTGTAGGAATTGAATGTTGAATAGCAGTCACTGCTTATCATCGCCGAACATGACAAATGTTAGTGTTATGCTTGTGTTACCTGGAACGCTCGTCCCAAGCGCCACAATAGAAATCGCCGTCACGCTGTCTCTAAGGCTGATAGTGCAGCCGAATTGACTGGCCACATCACCGATTAATGCAGTCAAAAATCCAATCGATGCAATTGAGATAATAAAACACGACCATCCACCTTGCCGGTCTGTGTGGGGTGATGTTAGTCAAATGTTAGCGTTAGACTAGATTCTACGTGACCCTCAAGGTGATGAGAACTGCAAGCGGCAGTAGCATGGATGGTTCTACATGCACTCTGCATGTATTGAGGTTTATACAAGAGAGACAAGATTATGAAAATAATAGCACCATCCACACTGCGTGTCTAAGTTAGCAGTATTTAGCTCTTAAAAAAAGTTAGTACTAACACCAGCAGCAGCAAGCAGCACCTGTAAGCTTGAGAGTTAGTAGGAACGGAGGAATTACAAAATCGTAAAATTGATGAAGGACACACTAGCAAATAATGGCCGAATAGTCATTACAAAGGGATGTAGGTTAAGGGGGAAACCAGCATCAGGCTTAAGTCCACAATATTATAATTATCAATATTATCAAGTGTGAAGACAGCAATAGGACAGTGTAACACCAGGGTGCTGCAATCTTGGAAAACTTCTGCAAACTAGGAAGAATAATGAATGGTTTAACATTGTATCATATTTTCCTCCAACCATTTTATTTCAAAAAAAGGAATTTACTTATGGAGTCAACCATATACCATCTACAGCCAGGAGTCAAGGTACGGCCAAATACAGAGCAATTATCTGAGCGGACCAAAGAGCAGGTTTACAGCACCCTCTCGGAAAGGAGGCGCTGCAATGACAAAGGTCTTAGTCGGGTTCCAAATGATGTTGGATCGTGTAGGAAGTGTGAGGAAAAGCCAATGCATGAAGGGGTTTCGTGTCACCTGGAATGGGAAAGTGAGTAACAATGTAAACAGGTCGAGATGAGGCATGTAAGGGTATAAGGGGGGTACTGGAAGGGGGGTGAGGGGATGGACGGAAATCCTTCGGTAAATACAAGCGTGGCATTGCTAATTAGGTACAGTAACTGAGTAACATTTGAGAGGTATTACAACTTCTCCGTAGATGTTTTGATTTTGTTTTTGTTTTGCCGTGTTAGCTAAGTAAAGGAGATTGCTCAGTGTTTCTATATATGCTGATTAGGGCCGATTCATCTAGCATAAACATTAAAAGGAATAACGGTCTGAAGGGATATACTTTGGATCTATGAAAAGTAGTTCAGGACATACGGGGGGAAGAGGAAAGGAAATCTACAAATCCTTTTTTTTAATTAACTTTGAAAGAGGATGGTGGGCAATGTTGATATAAGATTGGGGCAGATGATTTTCAAAGACGTCTAACTACTGATACTGCTAATCAAAATATGGTTGAAAGGAAAAAGAGAATTACACTTTTTTGCTCATATCTTCAAGAGCATACTGATTAGCATATTTTTAAAAATCTTGAAGGGGGGGGGGTAGAGTCTTCACTTACCAAAATGATAAACTCAATACGGCAAAATATAGCAAGTATGCTTACGCGGAAGGAAAACTAAAGTAAACTGGGTAGCCCACATGGCAATGCAAGTAGATTTACAGATATTTTTTTCTCCTTTCTACAATTTTGCTAGAGCACATCTGACACTGGAGTACAGAAAGGTACTGACGAAAGCCACTTATCCAGCAGTGTACCTGGCATAGAAGTTCCCAGAGCAACGAAAGTGGTTGCAGTGACCGAATCTTTCAGGAAGCTGGTGCAGCCCAAGGCACTGGCCACGTCCCCGATGACCGCAGTCATCAACCCGATACCAACTATTGAACACATGAAACACGGGTATCCGCCTCCTAATGCTGTGCGTTTGACCGTCAGTGTGGGTTTCCGTGGTGGAAGAGGTATGGAGACCATTCCGTTAAAAAAGAGGAGAAAGAGAGGGGAAGGAGGAGGAGGAGGAAAGGGGGACGGCGGGGGGAAAGGAGAGAAAGAGAGAGAGAGAAAATGTGTTTAACTAAAATAAACTTTGGACACTCTGCAGGCAAGAAAGCATGCCCACATTACCCATGCACAAGTCTGGGAGCAATCACAAGTTGTAAAACCTTATGGGAGATGCACCATCCAAGTCACACAGAGAAGCACCATCAAAACTGAAATCCTCAAGTGCTCTTCAGAGACATGCGCAAAATACAAACTCCATGGCCAAGAGACATGCCGAAAAAAAAATGCAAAAATAAATAGAAACAAAAAGGTAAAGAAAATCACATGGTTGCAAGTCACACAGGAAAATTTGCTGATGCTGAGAAGACAAGAATTAAGAGCAGAGATAAGGAATTAGGAAGAAAAAGTAAAAAAGAAATGAATAAATATATAAATAAATTACAGACCAAAGTAACAACTCATAAGTCTTCTCCGAAATAAACCCTCACACGCACGCACTACGACTCTATTTTGTTATTTTCATAAAAAAAAGAAAAAAAAATCACTTATCGTTAGCGAACTACTGACAATATTCCAAACTGACTAGGTTAGACTATATTATTGACACTAATATTCCACTTTGATAATTCTCTGTGGTTTCTCTCACTGGTAATACCGAGAGGTAGTCACTTTTCCACGGATACGCGACTTAAATAAACATATTGATGCGCCAATTTCAAGAGGTTATCATCTACCTTCTAGAAATCGTTTTCTAAATAAAACAAATCTCCAGGAAAGCCGTGACTTGAGAGAACCACCATCCTTCAACTTCTCTACAGAGTTACCTGAAAACTACTTTCATTTCTCATTTCTTTTTCTACCAAGTTACCTGGAACACTCGTGCCCAACGCGACAAATCCAATAGCGGTAATCGTGTCCTTAAGGCCTATAGTACAGCCCACATGTGATGCCATGTCGCCTATAACGGCAGTGACCATTCCGATACCGAGAATGCTGATAACGAAAGTAGGATACCCAAGCAGCAGGTCTGCGTTCGGTAAAAGTCAGCGATTAGAAAAGTCACAAGACATGAGCAGGAGTTTTGTCTTTTTCTCTCGTGGAAGACCTGTTCGGGCTGTGTGAAAAAAAAAAAAAAAAAAAAAAAAAAAATAAATAAAAAAAATAAAGAAAAGAAAGCCTTTCAAAACCCATGGATACTCACTCCTGTCATACAGTTTGTTAGTGAAGTTAATACTGCGTTCTAACTAATTCGACTAAATGGGTGAGGTGCCGTGTCATGTCTCCAGCAAACTCACATGGATATGAGAATATATGAGTGATTTTGTGCGAGCCTGGCCATCCTTTCTCCAGGTAATCTGAAGATGAAAACAAAACGACCAGGTGCTGATGCGTATGGGAAAATTCCACTCGAGATTCAATTGGTTTTGACTCCTTTTACCGATTCGTAGGGAGTCGGAGAGCTCGATTTCTCTCATCAAAGGGCAGCTTATTTTCCTGGGGACTGTACTTCTTAGCGCGAAGCGGGTTTCGTGTGATATAAACTGCATGGTAAAACAACAACAACAACAAAAACGCTTGCCTTCCTATTAATAAACGTGTTATTTCTATTATAGACAGTCGAATATCTCGAAAATGATTTTGAATTCTCTATACAGGGGGAGTTCTTTCTTTCTAAAAAAGGAATAATCTCAATTAACGGACACCACGCTCTCAAGGCGGCCGCTTCCTGTCGCTAACGTAGGATCGATCTTTGGCAGCAAAATGGCAACCGATTTTTAAGAAAAAAAAGTAAAAAGAAAAAAGACAGAACAAATCTGCAGTAACTTGGTCTTGGGGAAATGATAGGAGAGACTTTCAAAAAGTGATATAAATGTGGAAGGCTTCATTTCATGCCACATTTAAGCGGACATGGCAGTCGAGCGCTGAAGAATGGGAGGGCGGAGGAAGAAGAGAATGCAAGGGGGTACAAGGGTAAAAGAAAATTGTTATGAAAAGAATACGACCATAATATGCCACACACGGTTAAACTAATCCCAGGGCAAGACACATGGTTTCCAATTTCTGGAACTCAAAAAAGAAAAAAAAAGAAAAAAAAGGACTCTTTTATCTGAAACGTATGCACGCCATGTTGGCATACCCCAAAGAAAACAAAACACATAAAAAAATCTAAAATTAAATGGCGCAAATACAGATTCAAATAAAAGTTTGTTTTTCTTAAAGTGAAAATACTGGTGATTTTAAATCTACCTTGGAAACTACTTCGACAGATCAGTGGATATGCAGTCATACCCAAGCCCTAGTTGTTACATGGGAAACAGACTTGGTATAACCGTATCCGTCAGAGGAGTAGTTACCAAGGAGGTGGGTATTGCAATCACCAGTCTGTCAACCTCAAGCCCTCCTCCTGCGCGTTGCCTCAACATACCTGGAACACTGGTACCCAAAGCCACAAAGGCAATGGCTGTCACCGAGTCCTTCAGGCCAATAGAACAGCCGAAGTGAGAGGCAAAGTCACCGATAAAGGCAGTAAGAAGACCAATGCCCAAAATAGAGATTATAAACGTTGGGTAACCCTTGGCGATGTCTGTTGGGGTGGGAGTGATTGTGGAGAGAGAAAGAGAAAAAAAAATATTCAGATGCATTTCATGGCGAGGTGAATCGACAAAAGTTCTAGGATGTTACTGCTCACATTTTGACGATTGTTAGACACATTATTGCTAATATTCTGATATTTTGTACCTCAGAATTGTGTTCCTCTTTTAGAATGATCTGTAAACCTACAGGAATGATTACAGTAGAAAGGCCAAATTTGAGAAACCATCAAAAGATGAAATTGAAAGGCCATGTCAGACTATTTACACGTCAATTACAGATTTGAAAATCGGATTAAGTAAAAAGAAAGAAAAAAAAATCAGAAGATCCCTGAATTTTGTCACCGATCTTTAATTCTAAGATGAACACGCATAAACAGAAAGACAAACTCAAACATAATAGGAGGTTTACCTTGGAAACTACTTCGACAGATCAGTGGATATGCAGTCATACCCAAGCCCTAGTTGTTACATGGGAAACAGACTTGGTATAACCGTATCCGTCAGAGGAGTAGTTACCAAGGAGGTGGGTATTGCAATCACCAGTCTGTCAACCTCAAGCCCTCCTCCTGCGCGTTGCCTCAACATACCTGGAACACTGGTACCCAAAGCCACAAAGGCAATGGCTGTCACCGAGTCCTTCAGGCCAATAGAACAGCCGAAGTGAGAGGCAAAGTCACCGATAAAGGCAGTAAGAAGACCAATGCCCAAAATAGAGATTATAAACGTTGGGTAACCCTTGGCGATGTCTGTTGGGGTGGGAGTGATTGTGGAGAGAGAAAGAGAAAAAAAAATATTCAGATGCATTTCATGGCGAGGTGAATCGACAAAAGTTCTAGGATGTTACTGCTCACATTTTGACGATTGTTAGACACATTATTACTAATATTCTGATATTTTGTACCTCAGAATTGTGTTCCTCTTTTAGAATGATCTGTAAACCTACAGGAATGATTACAGTAGAAAGGCCAAATTTGAGAAACCATCAAAAGATGAAATTGAAAGGTCCATGTCAGACTATTTACACGTCAATTACAGATTTGAAAATCGGATTAAGTAAAAAGAAAGAAAAAAAAATCAGAAGATCCCTGAATTTTGTCACCGATCTTTTAATTCTAAGATGAACACGCATAAACAGAAAGACAAACTCAAACATAATAGGAGGTTTCACCAACAGCAGAAAACAAGCATGAGAAGTGAATGGATCTAGAAGCTAAATAGATTGATAAAAATTTTCACATGACCTAAAAGAGGAATGCAGATCATCCAATATGGTTGCTGGCTTAAAGTTAGAGAATGCTGAAGCTGATTAAAACTACTTGAAAAATTGATTTTATCTCAAAAGCTGATTAGAAGATATTACATGCATATTACAATAAAAAAATCTAATAAACAGTTCACAGATTGTATGAAAAACATACAACAAAATTACAGAAAGTGAAATGTATAATTATGTAGTCATTCATATTCACCACAATACTTAGGCGTATGTGAAATTGTGTACATGTGTGTATGTATATATGCATTGTTTATATCTACGTATATATGTATGTGTATACATGTTTTTTATGCAAATATGCAAACACATACCCACATTTTCTATTTTTGATCGTGTATACAAATACAATATAACAATAATTGTACATATTATCACCAGTGTTAGATAGCAACATGAATTTGTAACAAGACACGTCTACAACAATAGAAATAATAACTAATATGAATACAAGGTCTGATCATACTGAACCATGGTAAGATGTAACATACAGGAATTACTAAAAGCAAAACTACAGTACGGTACACGATGAAGTGTACGTAAGAAGCTTTCATTCACTCTCTCACTCAGTCTCACGTAAATGTCACCAACACCTTGAGAACAAGAAAATACTTTTTAATGTATCATGTACAATATGAAAATAAGGAAAATCTGTCTGTAAACTTGTGATCTGTGGAATAAAGGAAAAAAATAAGTATCTCGGGTGTGATTAGAAATTTTAAAAATATATGTCAAAAAAGAGTTTGTTTCGTCGGCAATTTTGAACACTAATAATGAATCGTGATTTTCAAAAGTATGTCATATTTCTTCGTTGTGTGTGTGTGTGTGTGTGTGTGTGTGTGTGTGTGTGTGTGTGTGTGTGTGTGTGTGTGTGTGTGTGTGTGTGTGTGTGTGTGTGTGTGTGTGTGTGTGTGTGTAAATATAAACGTATACGTATGTATGTGCATATAGGTGTGTGTTTGTATATGTGTAACTTATATTTATCTACTCTGATGCCTGGAAATTAACTCTGTTTTGACTTATACAAAGACAAAAAAGAACAAATAAAATACATAATTACGAGCAACAAGTACAATAAAAGAACACCGATATCACTCCTTAGAATCTATTATAAACCAGTCGAATTGCTAAATAGAAAGGTGAAATCTAAAAGAAATCTTATGATATAAAAATGATTCTAATCAAGATGTTTCTAGAATGAAAAGTATATAAGCAGAAAAAAATATATGATTCTGGGATATTCGGGAGAAAATTATAATAATTTTCAAAAGCAGCAATAACATTCTGTTTCATATAAACGATATGGTTGACTGAATCCATTCTGTTGATAGATAATGAGTGTGTGGGTTTCTCAAAATTTGGTATGATTTATGTACATGTGAATTCATATTCCTAGGGTTTTTGTACTAGACTTAATAAATGAAAACTTAGCTCCTCGGTTCTGACCATTGAAATTTACACCCATCATGAATAATTTGCGAACCGCTTTCTCTAAACATATATAATTATACACAAGCATTAGAAATAGAATTAATCAACATCCGTACCCATAGATGTCGTAAAATACATGATTACGATTAATGAAAAACAACAACTAAATCTTATCTTAATAAGCTCTCAGAAATATTGATTTGAAATAAGTTACTTTTTTATATTCTGAAGTGAATTTATTCTTAGAAATATTGAATGATATTTCTTTCTGTATTCTGTCTGTAAGTCTCCCTTCTAAGTTTTCGGGAAGAAACAGTTAGAAAAGGAAATTAATTATTGAAAATTCTCAAGATCAAATAGACCTCTTTGATAAAACATGAAGATGGAAAAATAAAAGGGAGGAAAATATCAGGGAATCGCATTATAGAATTTGAAAATCTTTAAAGAATGCATCAAAAGTTTAAATACACAAAACGAAAGAGAAGATTAAAAACCAGGATTAATCCACTGCAATTGGATAAATTCAACATCTTCCTTATCTTATTCAATACTAATTCTTATTACATCTTATCATAATCTATCTCTTTGTGCTGGCAAAGGTTAAGGGATTTTGTTAAAAGTCTTGTGCTTTTAAACATCAGTAAGGATTTGATGTCTCTTGAATTTTTTAAAGTAGATTTTCACATATGCACCAAGCTAAATTTGGCCAAAAACAAGGAACGAGACTTTGGTAAGTATGAAAACACTTTTCAAATGAACCATCTGTCACTTAATACTTCCATTCCTTACATATATATATGTTTTACGTTAACAGAGCATCGTAAATGAATAAATTTTGTTTTGCATATACATTTTTTTTACTTTAACTAGGCATTCTAAATAAACCAACATTTCACGTAATCTCTTTTTTCAGTTTAAAAAAATGAAGATCTTAAAGAGGACGAAATCGAGTCGAGTCTTACCCGTGGGAGGAATGAAGGCAAAGAGAATCTTCCAGAAAACGGTGACGAAATGCATGACGTAATCCATGCAGCTTGGCAGCCTCTCAGTTTCCTCCTCTTCCTCTCCCTCTTCATCTTCATCGCCTATGAGAATATACAAAGATGAGTTAATGCAAAGAGAGAGAGAGAGAGAGAGAGAGAGAGAGAGAGAGAGAGAGAGAGAGAGAGAGAGAGAGAGAGAGAGAGAGAGAGAGAGAGAAAGAGCGAAGAATATTAAAGAAATTAGCGAGACTTGGGACTAGACACTTTTCCCGTTCAAACGCGATTATGTTTTCTTCTGATTATTGTAGGTTAAAATTTAGTATTATATTTAGCAACATACAAATAAAATCTGGCTAACATATTAAATTAAGAAATACAGTTGCGAAGCTACAGTGAGACAGAGATTACATAATGGAGACAAGTTAAGAATTGTGCTACGTTACAAGTTATCAAACAACATAGTGCTAAGAGAAGCTCAATTTATTATTAATATCGTAACTTTCTTGAATGATATATCAGTCAAATAACTTCAGTACTTAATCTATAAAATTAAAAGTTCAGGCATCACACTCAAGTTGCAACATCTAATCTATATTAAAAGAACAAATATAGCAACGTGAAAATTTAGATAACAGTGATACTCCAAGTATAGCAGAATATCATAAGAGAAAAAAATAAAAATAGAACAGGTGTGGTCGCCAGTATCACATGTGGCGATTCTAAACGAAAAATAAAATTAAAAAAATAAAAATAAAACAAGACAATAAAGCTGCATTGACATGATGCAGTTTCCTTTTAAAGTTAAACAAGTCTGTTTTGTTATAACAGATAACAAAACTACTTAAAAAAAAAAACACATATAAGATCTGCAAGAAATAAATAGTCAAAAATCATAATGGTAAAATAAAATAAAAAATCTGAGTTAGACAAAGACAAAGAGTGAAAAAAGGGAAATAATCATAGAGGTTTGGACTATACTTTGATGCACACGACTCATTCTCTAAGAAACCTGGAGGCGCTTTTCAGGAATACCTACCATAGTTGAATGCAGGAAGATGGTTGCGTGAAAGGGGGGAGGGGAGAAAATAACTAAAATTTACCACTCTAGTCAGGGCAGACACTATGCAACGACTGTGCAATTATTATTTTTTTTTTTGCAAAGCTTATATACAGAGCATGTACATGATATTCATGTTGATTTTTTTATCAGTGAGAATATGACACCATAATTAATTTTGTAAAGTCATCAGAGATAATATATGCACACATATATATCAACAATTGACTAATCCAATTTTTGGCAAGAATCATTTAGTTATACTGTGTAATATATCTGTGTAATATATCTATATATATCTATGTATCTATATCTATGTCTATCAATCTATCTATCATCTATTAGATGACGATAGCTATATATATTTTAATTCTACCGACAAATTAGTATTACTGAATTAGTTGACCAAATGAATCTCGCCAAAGACTATAATAATGTTAGGTAACTGTACATATTTTAGTGACTAATATGACTGTCATATAAGTTATCTTTATAATAATAATGGGAATTCTCTAAGTTAAAAAAAAGAAGTAAACTAACGAACTACTTCTACTTGTAAAACGACATCTTTTCAAATGGAGTTTAAAATTTCCTGTCAAAATTTTGAATAAATATCAATTTACTCAAGAACCCAAATTCACGGAAAATATTTTTGACATGAATTTGGTTCTAATTCGCTAAAAATAAGGTAGACAAATAAAAAAATTTATAATATTGGTCTATAATCAGTTTTACCCATTCACCTACCATTTGGAGGCGACACCGAAGCAGGGAAAGGCAAGGGAAGGAATTGCATAGTTAGCATATTTAGGTGGAAATTGTATCAACGAAACACCTCAGAAATGGCCAGAAAATATGTATATACAAATGTAGAATTTTTAAAATCATTATTTTAAAGACATCATTAATAATAATTATGTATGAAATCTGCATACTGATTTTGACAAGAACTTCTCTTAGAGTAAAACTCAACGAGAGAAGCACCCACCTTACTATAAGGATCAGGCACAAGGTTAGAGTAACAAATCAGGAAGCCGCAATAGGTAACTGAACAGAACCAACACTGTTAAGGATTCCTGGCCACATTACACTAATATAATACTATTCTTAGAACTTGGCAACCCACTTCGTATTGTCACATGAAAGGTCGTGATGCTGTTAGGTATGGCTGCGCTCATCCATTGTGATAAAACCGTGAGGGAATCAGTGAACAGATGTGTGGTGAAGAGACTCACTGAAGGAGTATTTAAAATTATCTGCCGCGTCAACAACTAAGGTCATTAGCGACGAATACCTTATTAAAATGTTTTTATGGCTTGGGTAAAAGTTTTGAGTTTTGTAGTACAAGCTAGCTTTGGTATAATGTAGAATTTTTGTAAACATTATTTTTGAAGTTTAACGTGGAAGTGGAATACACTCAAAGAGTCAACAATCTGCTATCACTCGTATTTATGACTTTTGTACTGATTTTTAGATAAAATTTTATATATTTAGTAAGGGATAATATATTACAGATGTTTTACATATTGAAATTTTTCAAATATTTAATCGTTACAGAATGCATATTTTGCTAGCACGATCTCAGATAAGTGAGATTTGTGAGCTTCGAAAAGATTCAGTGTACTTTTTACTTACTTTTATTATTTTACCCAGAAAATTTCAACAATTAAGAATCCGGATGATAATGAATGAACAAAGCCACCAGACCACTAGAACAGCATATTCACGTGAAATGAGATGGTAGGGCAGCGATTACTAGAGGAAAATACACATTATCATTGCATATATTTGCAGTTATGAAGGCCAGTCAGTAATCCTTAAGATACAAAAAAGCAACATTATAAGAGATGAATACAAAGCTTTATGATTGATCTTATGGACCTAGAATCTTGCTCGATTACTTTGAAAAGAGCAACTTAATTTCCATGCATGGATTCATGAGATCAAACACGATATAAATACAAACTTGACTCCCTATCACAGATATCAATTCCCTCCGTCAAAGAATCATTTCCCTCTACGAAATATAAAAGAAGAAAACCAGAACCTGCAGGACTTACCAGGTTGGACCGTGATGGCTTCACTGAACTGTTCCTTCCAAGAGGAGGTTCCAACAAGGAGAGATGCGTTAGCCTTCTTCACCAACTTGTCAACCATATTCTGTCAAGGGAGGGGGGTAAGGTTACTACAGCCTCATCAAACTACCTAATGCACAGCCCATCAGATTACCACATGGCCACCAGTAATTCAGATTTACAGATTTGTATGCCGGTACTCTCCAGTCAGGGGTGTTGCAGTACCTCTGTTTTTTGGGAACTACGTCTGGATATCTTTGTTGTTTTTTCTTTATAATTTCAAAAGCCACTATTAGCATCTCAACTACTGGGTCTTCGATGCCAAGTTATTTCAACAATTCACAGCAATACTCAAGAGACATTTCTTGAATATTGGTGTAAACAGAGACATGTTTAAAAAGCATTATTTTCTTTCGAAGCAGATACCTTTAGCCAGACTATTATAATTCCAGCTGATACACCTTGACTTAAGAGCCAAAGTTATTAAGAAGCATTTCAGTTACTGGAATAGCATTTTCGACCCATCGAAGGGATTCCGAAAAATCGGCTTTATCTAATGCAGCGTCTCTTCTTTTCTCTTACTAGATATCTTTATTGCCTTCCGACAAGCGACAGAAGCAGGACCAGAGAGCTCATTTGGTATGTACAACGCCACAGATCATCTATGGGTGAACTAAGTCTAGCCTATGCTTTAGGAATTTCGTTTTGAAAGTCTTTACAATACGTGACTTTTAAACGACCCGATAAAGTGATGGTTGGCCACACATAAAAAGGACTAAATTTGACTCTATTTCATACATACCTGTATACACAACAAATGACAATAAAATTTGTAATTTCAATCTTATTTTCACTCGCACCAGAAACACTTTCTTAAAGAAGGACACTCCTTGAAGACAGTTACTGCTTGGTCCAACATAAGCATCGTACTGAGAATTTAAATAGGGCTACGCATTTCCCTCAAAATTTATCGTAAAAGATACTGTCACATTCCTACAGATCAACAGTGAATTAAATGCACACACTGCAGATAAGAAGGGGGAAAAGTATGAGGTAAATCCCCACTGCGTAGAGAACCAGAAGAGCAAGTCATGCAGGCGACCGATTCCCGACCGAGTCACCACTTAGAGTTAATCCGATGTTCTTCAAATTCCCCGCAGACCTCTTCTTTTCTCCCCGACTTGTCCTCAAGCAAGCCAGTTTGATTAACGAAAAACTTTTTTTTTCTACTTCTTCACCTGAATGAACTATGTAAACACAGTAAGTATTTAACTTTGATGGTATATAACAATGGAAAGTTTGTCCTCAGTACTGGAATCTCTTTAAAAGCTGAACCTAGGTCATGGAAACCCTATGCTAGAACCACTCTTTGAGTCTTTTCTCCAGCAGCCTTGCCGTTCCCCTTGGCAGTGGCCTGGGTTTATGCAGCCTACTCTGACATGAGAGGAACCGAAATCACTGATGAGATATATATTCCTAAGCTGTATTATTAACGCTCCCCGGATTTAGTTGTTTGATGCTATCATACGGGATTGCAGAAGAAATGTAATTCGGTTTTGTAGATGAATGATAATCGCTAGCGTCTATACTTACTATTTTCATGTAAATGGATAAATAACATTATTATTTCATAAAGATTGGCTTTTTAAATGATAAATGATAACTCCTTTAAGTCTATTTATGTTATTAATGATCAGAGTCTAACTTACTGAAGCCTTGAAATTTTGGAATCTTAATCCAGTATAATATATGCATAATGTGGAATTCACTGATAAGAAAAAAACACCAAGGAAACGATTCACAATACTTATCATTAATAATAATAATAAAAAAATATAATTACTCACAAAAAAAGCAAACAAAAATGATTTTCCTCTTTCCTCCACGAGTCCCTAACTAGCCACTGGACATGATCGGTCTACCAAATGAGCTCTCTGAGGTAAGCGGAGTGGGCAGTGATATCGCTGGCAGGAAAAGCCCTCTACAAAAAGAATTAATTGGTCATTCGGTTACCGGGAGCTCCGCATCGCACAGAAACTCTCGGAATATGCTGTCGAGGACCGTCTGGAATGGGGGCAGAGACGCGGACGTGAATGCAAAGGGAACCGCTGTGGGCCGTCGACGTGGGTGCTTGTGAACTTGCTACGTGTGGTGTGTGTGATGGAGGTCTATATATTTTTATAGTACTAATTATAAGGATTAATAATGATAATGATAGATGGTGATAATGATAGATGATTGATGATGATAATGGCAAAGATAATGATGGTTGTGGTCATTATAATTGTTATAACTATATTATGATGATAATGTCATAATCATATTGATTTTAATGGTAATGTGATAATGATTTTGCTAATAATAATAGTAATAGTAGTAGTAGTAGTAGTGATAGTGATATCAGTAAAGTTATTAATAATGATAAGAATACGGGTAAAGATAACATCACAAAATAGCAACAATAACAATTATATAATTAAGGATAATCACAGTAACGGTAGTAACGAGGAGAGTAAAATCAATATTAGTTATCAGTAATAATTGGAATATGATTATCGTATGTGCACATATCATGAAAATTATATCATCCACAAAATATTTTTGCACAACTAATTCTCAGTGCAATGCCAGCTGCTACTATTATACTGGTTAAGGCCATCCAAAAGAAAAAAAAAATATATATATATATATAAATATATATACATAAATTCTGACTTGGGGAGAAATGCTAGCACAGTACTGAATTTTTCAACCCACCGAATATGCTTTATTATTATACTTTTTTCGGGAACTTTGATAAAATAAATATTTCTTTAAATATTTACTCATCTTTCATTATCTCCTTTATAACATCTGGAATATCTTTTTTTTTTCTTTTAAAACGCATTTGACTATTTTCCTACATTTTGGTCTAATAACTTGAAAATTATATATTTTATACCATAAAATAGATATTAAAACTGAAAAGTGGTTCTCTCTCTGAAAATATATCTAGATATTTTTCCTTTCTTTTTGCAACACCAAAACATAGTAGAATTTATCTAAATAAATAGTAAATAGTAAATAGCAGAATATATATATTTTTTCTTTAATCACAACCATTACAGAATAGGAAGAATGTAGAAAAGGCATGATGAAAGTGGAATTACAAGAAAGAAAAGATAATAAATGAAAACAAAATAGCAATCAATAGCTAGAATAATAACAAGCAATCATCTTCGGCGCAAAATACAATTGAAAAGCTGCATTTATTATTTACGAAATGATTGTCATACAAAACGCAAGCGGCAGAACAACTTCGCCAATTTTGATCAAACCAGAAAAAAGTGAAAGTGAAGGAAGTAACGTCGCGGATATAACGAACTTTATATACATGGATAATAAACAAGAATGTGTGTGTAAAAAAAAGGATTGGTTGGTAGTCTACTTCATTAATCTGCTGTGCGTAATGACATTTATAATATAAGTGTAGTTATGTTCTCGTCATCGGTAGAAGATCATTATTTAAAATAAATGAATTCATTTTACATATATCATGGTCATTCTAAAAGAAACGTGTTTACAACATGAATATATATGTATGGATACACAGACACACACACACACACACATACATGCATATATATAAGATAAATATTTAAATGAAATGATACACACACACATGCATTCATACATACATACATGCATGTGAAACACCGAAGGGAAGTGCAAGACAACATACGAATATGGTATACTCCTCAGCATACACGCACGCATACATACATACACATAGATACACACACACATACACAATATATATATATATATATATATATATATATATATATATATATATATATATATATATATATATATGTATATATAATGCACACACACACACACACACACACACACACACACACACACACACACACACACACACACACACACACACACACACACACACAATATATATATATATATATATATATATATATATATATATATATATATATATATATATATGAATTTTTTGAGCGATATCACTACGAAAACAAAAGCCTCCAGACTTATCAGCGGCGCTGACCTTCAACCCCCTCACAACAGGAGCTCAAGGGCCCCCACTCACAGGCCTTCACTCGCCCATTCACGTAAACAACCCCCTCCCCCTCGTCACGTGACACCCACTCCCCCATCCCCTCCGCCAAAACAAGTCCAAGACACGTCTGCCTACCTTGTACTCCTTGTTCTCCTTGACCCTGATCTGCGTGCGAGTCGAGTTGCCGAGCTTGGGTTTGCCGAGAAGCGCGATCTTCTCCTCCTCCGTCAGGTCGCTCTCCTTGTTAGCGAATTCGAAACCTATGTCGAATTCGATGTCTGGAATGGTCGGTCGCGGATTAGCAGGCGCGGAAACCTCTCGCTGGGTGTCCGTGATGACTTTTTTTTTTTTTTTTTTTTTTTTTTTTCTTTTTTTTTCTTTTAAGGAGCTCACATGTTATGTGCCTGCGATGTGCGATATAGGTATACGTGATTATATTTGTGCGCATAGAAGATATGTGCTTGTCTGCATGCATGCAAGCATGTATATTACGTTCGTATGTATGGATTCTGTTTGTACGTATACATACATATATATATATATATATATATATATATTATATATATATATATATATATATATATATATATATATATATATATATATATATATATATATATTCATATGCGTACATACGTTCACATACACACTCGATATGGAAAAGTGCATGTAACTACGTGTCTCACTAAGCCTTATAACATGTGAGCTTATATTCATCTAGTTCATATCCCACTGTATAGCAACCAAGTATGATACAATTTTCTACTACAATAAATCTCAACAAGACACAAAACACATTTAAACTACAACCTAAGATGAACTATCATCTGATTCAAATCTACCATGCAAATTTATTATGATACTGCTACTAGAGATTCTCTAACTACTATTCGTTTATTTAGCAATTTAAAAGACTATAATAACATGGAAAACAAAGTTAAACACAAAAATGAATATCTGGATATCAAAATCATATTGTACGATATCTATATATTTACAACAAATACTATTATTAAACCAAAGAAATAAAATGACAAAACTGATGTACTTTATAACCTTACCAAATATTTACAACCTATTCTGCTATTTTTTTACTACAAAATAACACACAAAAAAGAACCAAACGTGGTGTTAGAAAATATGAAATAAAAAGGGGGTACAAACAACACACAAGGGACAACGAAATAAAGTGTAAAGGGACACTACCAATAATAATGCAGATGTGTGGATGTGGGTTCCTTATGCTCTTAAGAAAAGGATATTACTGGAATTCTGGCTACGAGTAAGATTTTAAAAATACATCTTAGTAATACAATGTAGGAAAAAATATACCTTCTTTCACTTGTTTTTTCTTTTTAATTTCCGGAGTATCTGCATGAAATTACAAGAGTACTTTTTTACTTGAAAAAGGCACCAGAGAAAAAAAAAAGATGAAAAAAATTATATGAGTGGAATGATAAATGGCTTTATACAAAAAAAGAAAGATAAAAAAGTGCTTGCTAAGTCACTTGAATATTCAGGAAGCAGAGGGACTTGGGCCATGCATATCCTAGCCTCTACATTGGAAAGGGCGAACAGGGGTAACTGAAATATTCCTCTGAAATCCCTTTTCCATATCTTCACTTATTTATTATTGGTTTGATTGAAATTCACATTCATTTTGGTCCTCTGCTGTTTCTACGTGTCTAGTATGCAAGGAAACAACAATGAAATATATTCTAAACGATTTGAAAGAAAACAGAGAAAGTGAGACGAAAACTAGCTCTGGAATAATGCACGTGAACTACATTTGATTTGAGGTGATTTAAAATGGCGCGAGCAAAGGATTTTCTTCCGTGAAATCGTTAATAGGGAATAAGGTAGCTCACGAGTGCTCAGGTGGGAAGCATAACCATTTGTGATTATAATCTTGAAGAGAAGGTAGACACACTATACAACAACCTCTTTACGTGAAGTGTTCCTGAACGTATAGTATAGTTTGACTGTAGATAAATGTTGGCTATTACTCTGCCACGAATCGTACTCTTGTAAGAAAAATAACCATGACAGTAAATTGGTTTCATAAACACTTCACGAAAACCTCACCTCTGTAAAGATGGCAAATACTCTCACCTGTTGTGCATCTTCACGACCGTCATTATTACTATCTCTTGTTTTTTTATTAATTATTTATGTCTTATTTTTTCACCCAGAATACATTTTGATCTTTTCCAGAGGAGAGGTAGTTTATCCTATCAGCACCATGCGGGTGGAGACTCTTTACCAAACGGTGTTATCCGCTAGTTTGGGTCAGCAGTCTGTGTTTTATTGCGATGGGGACATCCCGTATCTACAACACATCTCTTAGAAGGTAAATTAAACATGGGCAATAGGGTGTACTTTCATGTGGAAAGATATGCAACAATTGGCAATAGTAGAGGGTTGCAGAGCAGGTATTACCACTACCAAAAACTACCAAGGGAGAAACAAGGGTGAACATTCTACCGGCAAGCGATCATATGTCATTCCTTCATTCACTGTTCAACAAAGACTATGAACCACTTACATCAATGGAAAACAGGCGATACCAATTGGATTTATTTTATACACAGGGCGATGAAGAGAAGATAGTGAGAGAGAGGGGGAAAAAATAATCATTAGATTATATGGAAACAAGAGAGGCATTGCATCAGCGGAGTCACTAGAGGGGTCGAATTTAACAATCGATACGATAGGAAATTTAATGGTGTTTGCATATCTATAGAGACAGATTTCTAAACTCGTCGAGAGGTGAACAAGCTCCATTCTAAGTGACTCGCTAGACTTATAAGTGTGCTTCACTTTGGTGATACAATTGGGGTAAACTAAAAGCAGGAAAACCATAGTGAAATAGATTGGAGGGAGTGAATAGAGAGAGGCATTGATTGAAAAAGAGTTTTTTGCTGAATAACAGTCTAGTGAGAGTAGGGTTTAACACCTACATACTGATTACAACAACTGATGCAAGGGAGGGAGGTAATAGCATGACATAGTCTCTGAAGCAAAATATATATATATATATAATTTTTCTCTTAAAACTACATAGGGTAAATGTCATGAATAAAGGAGAATGCATTATGCTCAAAGATAAGAGAAATATCAAGCACATAAATACACCGTCAATACAAAGTGTGCAATGCAGACTGAAATTAATCTTCTTCAAAAGGTTATTCCTTCAATTCTTAAATGACAGTAAATAATAATTACAAAAATACGTATTTTTCAAAAAGAACTAAAAAATTAAGACAGTAAAAAGAAAAATGAATTCATTAATTAGTATAATTTAATTTCACAAAAAAAAAAAAAAATCCTGAATGTATAATGTAAATTTTATAAAGATAATATCATACTTATACGCTTTTTATTTCTAGCATATATTATATTATAGAATAGTGAGTAATGCAAGTTAGCAGCATCATCTTAAACGCGGCCTCACAATAGCTCTTTCTGATATAGATTTAAATATATCAGAAGAAAATGAATTACGCGATGTTAATAACAGTTTTAAAATGTGCATTACTAAGCAATTTGTTATTCATCTGATTAATGAATGACACCTGAAAAATAAGAAGGAATTAAGTGAGGTAAATATCTAATAGATTTAGCTATATATGTATGTATGTATGTATATATATGTATGCACATACATGCATATGTATGTATGTATGTATATGCATACGCACATATACATACACAGACATATACTGCATATATATGTGCATACTCCTAATATGTTTTAATATATATATATAATCCAAGCACACAGAGATTTACAATACACTACTGTCCTTAAAAATGTCCCTTATCTGAATAGCAATCACTCACACAGAATAAAACATAGAGATACATTCATCCCCACACTTAAGATATATTAAGAACTATTAATGATTCCCATCCTCACCCCTATCCATACAATCCCGAAGACATCCTTTCCAAGATCCTAAAAGAAGAAAACAATCCTACAATCCTCCCCCCCTCCCCCCTCACTCCTTCCCTGATCCCTCCTCCCTAACCCCTTAGCCCATCAGACCCGCCCCTTTCTTCCCGCCCTCTCAGGCCCGCCCACTTCTCCCCGCCTCTCTACCCCCCTTTCCCCGCCCCCTTCACCACCCCCGCCTTTCAGCCGGGACCAGGACGTCCGCACGGCCCTCGGCGACACAAAGGGGCCTCCTTCATACCTCCAATGGCTTGTGGCTCGCCGATGTCCACGTAGAATAGGACGTCCTTCTCGTAACTGTCTTCCTCGATGATGTTGATGGACACCGTCTTCCTGCGGGCAGAAATCGAGGGTCAGGTTGGAGTTTCAGTCCGTGATTTTTTAACTAAAGGGGATTTTTTGTCTTATATATATATATATATATATATACATATATATATACATATATATATATACACACATACATACACACACAGACACACACACACACATTTTCTTTCGTGTTTTTTCCCCTCTTTCTTTTTCTTTTTCTCCATTTTTCTCCTTGTCTTTCTCTCTCTCACTCTCTCACCAATAATGGTAAAAATAATCATTATCATCATTAGCATTTCCACATCCCGGATCTATCTACCATTATAATTATATTTATTCGTCTATCTGTTTCAAATCCACGACTTGCAGAACACACACGAATAGCTCAAACTTTCTCATCAAATAATATTTTGGGTTAATTACTGCGCCGGTAATAACTGCTGTTTGCTCCGTGTGCTGGAATGAGTCATTAATCTTTTTTTTTATCTTCATTATGCAAAAGAGCCGAAAAATGCGAGTCACATGCATAACGACCTATAATCATCAAGTCAAAAGCTGTGCTTATCTGTTTTACATGCAAATTAGCACATGCATATTAATATGTATAGAAGTATAACCATATATTACCTGAAGCTGAATTGCACGTATTAAATGTATGTAAATACGACGTCTACAAAGTCAAATTTATCATATACCGTCTTTTTATATGCACTGCACACATTTAAGAAGAAAAAGAAGGAAAAAAAATCTCCTACATACTGCACTTAATGACTCATATTAATACAAATTACATAATACAGCTTTACATAACACATTGTCTGATTACATAACATATTTTCTTATTTGATTGTTGATTTTTTAAAATGACGTAATACATTTTCTCTTTTGAATAATCTGTGGCAACGCATTTTTTTTCTTATCTGAAATGAATTTAATCTATTATCTGAAAAAGGAGAGGACGAAAACAAAATTAAACGAATAATATAATATCCAACACACAATCAACGCCCAGTGTGAAGCATTCGGGATCTGCGGTTATTGTGGGGGATTTTATCGTTAGTTATATTGTCATTTTTGTTATCACTCTTCCGTCATTGTTGTTGTTTTTGTTATTATCAGCAGTGGTCGTAGTATAAATATGGTGATAATAAGGATAGCAGCGGTAGTAGTGATCATAATAATAATAATGATATTAATGCTGGCAACAACAACGATGCCGATGACAGTAATAATGACAATGTCAGTGACAGTGACACTGACAGTGACAATGACAGTGACAATGACAGTAGCAGTGACAGTAACGGTGGCAATGACAACGACAGTGACTGACAGAGGCAGTGCCACTGACATTGACTGACAATGACAGTGACTGTGGCAGTAACATTGACAGTGAAAATGTCAGTAACGTTGACAGTGACAACGAGACGTATCCCTGAAACACATTCACTGAATCACCATGATCAAGAAAATATGTAGCGTAGAAAGCCCGAGAAATTTCCAATAACAGTAAGTCACTAAATTCTACTTTTTCACCACAGAGCGGAAAAGGGCAGCGGGCCAATGCATTTTACTGTGATTCTGGATGTAAACTCTTCCCACTGATATACTATACGGAAAGTTATTCGATGTTGTAACGTCCAATGGATTAATCTGACAGATATCACAGACTACGCATGAAGACACATACACAAAGGTCTGTGATGTTGTAGCATCGGGGGGCCGAGTGAGTAAGGTACATGTGTCTTTGTGAGAACCCATACAATCACACACCTTATTTGTATTGTATAAATCTGCTGCATAAAAAGAGGTATTAACATAAGGTTGGCGATGCATGCACGTCTGTGATGCTGAGTTTCGTTATCTCTTCGTGGGAATAGTTCTGTGTTTTTCCCCTTCGCTCTCGTGTTAAAGTTTGCTTTTGGTGAATTATTAATGGAAGTAGCGGATTGGCTTTGGTAAAATCAGCTTCGTTGGATTCAGTCTCGCTTTCTCTTTTTCTCACACTTTTCTCTCTCTCTCTCTCTCTCTCTCTCTCTCTCTCTCTCTCTCTCTCTCTCTCTCTCTCTCTCTCTCTCTCTCTCTCTCACTCTCTCTCTCTCTCTCTCTCTCTCTCTCTCTTTCTCCCTCCCTTCCTCCCTCCCCATCCCTCTCCCTCCCTCCTCTTCCCCTCTTTCAGCTGCTCTCCCTTTCTTTTTTCCTTTCTTGACAGACCACGCATGGCTTAACTAATTGTCGTAGCTTCGCGCTCAACAACAGAAACAGCACTAATGGTTTCAACTTTTCTTTGGTGTTTGCACCGCTGCGAAGTCACGCCCTTTGTTGTGATCGCCATTGCTTGAAGCTCGAGTCTCGCTGTTTTGCAAGGGGCTGAGGAGAGGCTGACGTAGACAGAGGCCTCCGTGAGGCCGGATGGAAGGTCGGGTCAGGAAAGTCACACACACACACACACACATATTTATAAGTGTGTGTGTTTATGCATACACCTACATACATACATGGGCACAAATACTGTATATGTATTTGTACACACGTACGTACTTAAGAATATGGGTACTGCAGCCTCTTTCCCAAGCTCCAT